AAAAAACACAAACACGAACCTTCGCACTTGCACAACTGCCGGCTGTCCACCGGAGGCCTGTTGATAAACAGCCAGATGATGAGGTTCCAGTCCGGAGCTCAGTGAGCAGCTCTCAACTTTTGGCAGAGCTAGTTTTGACTCGTACTTCTCTGCAAATCAGAATCTTCATTTTTCATTCCTAGAAACATCTTCAAGACCCACTTTTTTCAAATTTTCACTTTTTTCTGATTTTATTTGTTTATTACAAAACTTAACGTAAAATGATTCCAATCTGATAAGGTACCCTGGACCAAAAAAAAACTTTCTTTTTGATTATAAATAAAATCATTTTTTTCATAAAAATCATGAAAAATTTACATTCCCCATAAACATTTTTGAAAACCCAATGATGAGGATGGATTCCAGCTCAACACAGAATGCTTCAAATTCATATTCGCCGACATAAATTATGAGGATTTCTTTTGAATCTAGCTTGAGCAATGCGTCGATTTGCAAAAAATGCATCTGGTAGACGATTTGAGGAAACCACTTTTTGCTGATGATGGACTCAATTTCATTCTTGTTTCTTCTCCAGCGCCAAGCAAAATTGCATTATTATTCATTTTTTGAAGTGTCCGGTCCTTCACTATATTTCCAATCGCTCTTAGGATGCCCGTATGATGTTCTATCGATTTTCTGAGCTTTTTCTCCGGCCCAAATTTCGACAGTGACTTATTGAGAAATCCGAACTCCACTTGGACACACCATAATTATAAACATGAAAATGGCGTGCTCATTAACTTACGATATGAATTGTATTTGTGGACGAGAATTTCCGAGCCAACCAAACGAACCGAATAAACTTCGTCGTCTGTCCACTGAATTTTCCAGGAATTCTGAAAATCTATTAATTTTGTTACAACTTTTTGAAGCATGTGCGCTGCTGGACAACTTTTTTAAGCCATTTTATGGTACCACAAATTTCGATGTAGCCATTGGCAGATTCAGGGAGGGGAACAGCGATTTATGCTTCACCTTCCTCCCCCGGGGGTGCAGGCAGCAGTTGTTTTACTGTAGAAAAATCTCTTCGATACTCCTTGTCCCCCTCCCTCCTCCCCTCAGGTCGTCGCCACAGTTTAGGGCCGACCAGCGAGGAAAGGGGGAGAGGGGAGAGGGAAGATCGCCCAAATCGCCCTTCCCGCCTTTCCCCCCCTCCCTCTCCTTCCCCAAGAAGCCGCCCTGGATCTGCTTATGCATGTAGGGGATGGTGTAAGGAGAATTCTGACTCTGTCGAGGGTTATTACGAAGTAGCCACTGGGCTTAAAAGTAATAGCGATTATGACTAAACTACATCACAATGAAATTCATATGTTTTAGATCCTGCTCCTCACTCCTAGATTTTTTTTAAAATTTTTAAAATTTTCAAAAATCCCTGATTTTCAAAAAAATTTGCAAGGACCCCTTCAATGTCGAGTCTTCTGGATTTGGTCTGCAATAAACTGCAGTGGATTTCTAAATGAAATTTCATTTGCTCGCCTTAATCCACACAAATGTCATTTTATTAATCTTCATAGTTCGCTCTCAACTCACATTTATCCCTTTCTTTCTAAACTTCACTGCTCATCAATCCCCCTTATCCCTCTTAAATCCACCTCTTTGAATTAAAGTTAAAACTTTTCCAATCTTTTTTCCCCACGATTTCATAATACAGAAAATCTTAGGATACCTTACACTGTCTTCTTTTGCAGCATTCGCCCGCTTTCCAGCACTTTTTGAAGCAAATTTTTTGATCAGTTATCAATAGCAACAATAACATAGTCGCCAACGAGTCAAATGATATTTAAGTAAACGTTGCAAAATATATCTGTTTTTGCAAAGTATACCTGTTTTTGAGCAATCAGCGTTGTGATATGTCGTCCATCTGGTAAAGACCATAGCCTCAAATTTGGATCGGGTTGCTTCTTTTCCAAATCTTCTCCCTAAAACATACTTCAACCGTCTCACATTGACGAGTTGTCCAGTTGCAGCACTGAATAGGAATGTATGCGACTTGATGGACCGAAACATTATCATTCAGATTTTAATCTTAACTTATTCACATTTCCATCTTTATCTTTTTACAATCTTTCATAATTATAAATCACCAAAATTTCAATTTAAAATGCAGTACTGACGCGATGAAAAAAAAAAAACACCTATCAGAAGTCTAGGTTAAACAAACACTCAGAAAGATACCACCAATGAGG